ACTTTAAATCATTAGCTCTGGCTGGTGTGACTCAGTGGGTGGAGTGCTGGCCTGCAAACCAAAAGGTCGCTGGTTCAATCCCCAGTCAGGGCATATGCCTGGGTTGCCAGCCAAGTCCCTGGTGGGGGCGCACATGAGAGGCAACTGCACACTGATGTTTTTCTCCCTGTATACCTCCCTTCCCCTCTCTCTAAAAATAAAATAAGTAAATAAAATCTTTTTTAAAAATTCAAAATCATTGTAATACATTTATCTGGAACAGAAGCATAGAAAATATTATATAAACCTTTCCCTATATGGTTTCCGGTCATCACTGAGAAGACCAAGGGCACTGTAACAATGTCATAAAGTGTTTTAAGAATGAGGAACACATTGTCCCTACCTTTTAAAAATGCAAAGTCATATCTTTCTCCCAGATCTTGCTGCACAAGGCTATTGCCTATCTCTAGCAGCTATACCCTCTCCTAACCTGATGATATACAAGCGAGTTAATCAGTAACCACACTGAGTTGCAATTGCCAGGGAAGGTCCCTGGTCCAGAGTAAAGTACTCAGATTTGTGACAGTTCACCTATTTTCTTTGAGTTTCTTTCATTTAAGTACAATAGAAGGGGGTGGATAATTATAAAAACAAATTTTATCAATTCAAAATTTTACCCATGACAAAACTGGGAAGGGACCATGAGGACAGTAACAACTAATCTTTGATGAGCAGTACCTACTATGTACCAGGTGTGCTAGCAGGTTACTAGGAATTAACTATTTTATCCTCACAATACCCTGATGAAATAGGTCATTCTAATCTCCAGTATATAAATTTTAAAACGTGAGGCCCAAGTTCACATAAGAAGTTGCAGGACTAGAATCTGAATCGCATGCTCGAGGAAAAGAAACCTTAAATGGCTTTGAGGCTAAGCTGGTAGATTAACTCTATGAAGTGGTTCAGTGTTGAGATCACAGAGCTGTGGCTCTCAACCGTGGCTGCCCATTGTAGTGGGAAGATTGTTAGGTGAGCTCCACCCCCCTGGATTGTGATTTAATTGGCCTGGAAGCTGCCCAGGTAATTCTAATGGCCAGTCAAAGCTGAGAACCAGTGTGTGTGTACATGCAGACAATGGTGCACGGCCTACTTGAAAAAAATTTTAAAAAATTTAAAGGGTTAAGGAAACACTGTGCTGGTCAAAGGTTCTTAGTACTGCCTCTGCCACCAGCAGGGAACACCCGGCCCACTCCTCCGAATAAACACGGTGCAGTAGGGATGGTGGACGTGGGCAGGCCGACAGACATAGATATTTGTTCTTAGAGGAGGGGGGTGCCTGTCTTGGAACTTTCCCTGTGTCACCTCCACCATCTCCTATTTTGGAACTGTTCTACTACAAAATGCACTTGGTATTAGAGGTAACCTACTCTCAAAGGAAGCTCTGGAGTACAACTCATTCTTAAACTGAAGATGACCTAAATATGCTCACTTAACAAATGTATACCATCAAGTTACAGAGCAAAACTACTTAAACATTTCAAGAATCATATTTTTTAAAAAAGGCCACTCATAATTAACTCTGATCTTTCTCCAAGCCAGGTCAAGAGATCTCACAAAACTAAACAAGTCTGAAGTATAGAGTCTAATGCCCTAAAAACAAGTGCAGGTGGTATATAACGTAGTTGAGTAAAACGTCATTTGTCATCGGAAAAGGGAGGCAAGCCTGCACAGTGTCAGAAAATCTTATTGAATGGCCGAAGATGTGAAATCCAAAATAAATGCTGCAGAAGTCTATAGGGAATCCATTTTAAAAAGAAGAAACTGCAGCCTGCTTGTGAAACAATTCTTTGAGCTTAATTACATTATAATTATTGCAACACCACAACTCAAGAGGAAGTGGCAAAAGAGTAAATTAAGAATGGACTTTAGGGCAACTCAGTCGAACTAGCCACAACATTTCTTCTGCTGCAAAGCTACGTTGTGTGTTTTATGGTATTGTGTTACCACTTATGACCACTTTCTCTCATTACCACCGAAAGAAGGCAAACAAAACTGAGAAAAGAAATTGAGAGTGATTTTCAAAAGAGAATGCTGCAAATAAAGGCCATGACTCAGAAATCAGGATCTTGGTCAATGAGTTTCAGCATTGGCAGTTTGGGCAAAGCTGCTATTTGGGTAAAACATTTCATTGTTGTTACTTTGTTTGGCTTTTCACAAAGCAGAGACAGGGAAGTGAAGTCTGAGAAAGCAGACAAAAGTGCATGAGATTAATTTTCTCACCATGGTTTAGGGTAATTTTGCTTGTTGACTGAATAAATATATGTCCACCGCCTCCTGAATGTCAGGCTCTGGGCAGTGCTGAGGATGCACCAGCGAACACGGCAGTGCCTGCTCTCATGGGACTCCGAAACCAAGAGACCAAGGCACCAACCCCCCAGAACCTACCCAACAAGCCCCTTCCAGCCATGAGTGTGAAAATCCAGCCCTGCCATTGTACTATTAGACAGCGAATTTTTTCCTTGGTCCGACTGCACTGAACTTCCCAGGGAAGGTGCTGATATCATCTAAATAAATAAATACATAAATATAGATCCACACTTTGAATACCAACAATGTAATTCATGGGTAAACCTCCACGAGTTTAAGGGGGCAAAAATTTCTAAGTTATGACTATCAAAACAGGTTTTCCATCTGAACTAAGACCAGCTACCATATTTTCACTGCCTGTGGCTATGCAGCTTCAGGAAGCTAAAAATACTTTTCTTTCTGCTAAGTTGAGAAGAACAAATAAGACCAAGCAGTCAGCTGTGCATCATTTTCTCTCGTCTTAATTTTTTTTTTACTAGAAAACACTCAAAACAGCTGAAGCAACGAAAAGGCATCTGTTTTATATTTGTATACATATACACTGGCAGATACATCTATACAGCTTGTATCCTCCTATTAATATGAAATAAGCCATATTTGCATTATCAGCAAAAACTGTCAACCTTTCACTGCTCACAGCTCTTTATTATTATTTTTTGGTTGGAGAGAGGGCTGCCTAAGTGTTGAAAACTAACCACAAGTACACATAAAAGCTTTCTATATATATATGTGTGTGTGTGTGTATTTATATATATATGATGACTGTCTTCTTAACAAGAGAGCATGGTGCTTACACTGCAGTCATGCATCATTTATGTTTCTGAAATTCACATGAAATGAGATTCTAAAATAGAAGGGCAGGAGCTTTGAGTCCTTCTGCAGGTCTTGCTCAAGTGATATTCGCTCTGTCTGGCAAAGTGAAAAACTGTGTTTCTCTTCTAGGACTTCTCAGGGCTAATTGTAAAACACACACACACTTATCTCCGTGATAAACTAAGTGTTACTCAAGAAGACAAACTTTTTTTAAAAACATCCTTACAGGATGGTAAACAGTGGTCCCGTGGACTTTTGCAACACATCCGACATCTCTTAAGTCACCCTGCTAAGTCAACAGAAACCAGCAGGTTTAGTATCCATTCGGCTAGGCCATTCGGTTGGGCTGCTGGGCCATGGCTTAATTTCTCCGGAAAAAAAAAAAACAGCACAGCTGGAGAAATCTCTGCCAAGCCCCCCATTTCTTAGGCTACTGACAAAGTCAAATGGGAAACAAATACCTAGGAGCCAGGAAACCACCCCTCCGGAATGGGCTGCCAGAAGCGGAGCGAGGGCTAGAGGTGTGCCTGCCCGGGTTGCAGCTGGGCCTTTGACAAGTGCTAGAGTAAAACACTCGGTGTGCACCTCCCATCTCAGGCCCAACAGGACCAGGGACTGGTGCTACCCGTTTCAAAGGTAACCAACCGCCTTCGGAACCTGGAAGATGGGGATGTCACCTCCCCTGACACTCCAGAGGGCCAGGGGACCCTGCAGGGCTCGCCTCCGATGTCTCTGAAGGTCAGAGGTAGCACCCGCAGTGCCAATTGCTCACCAAAGCCACTTTTCCAGCGGGGGCGGAGGCGTGGGACAAAGTTGGCCATTGGCCTGGTGCGTCCATTAACCGTACCTTGTAACTGGGCGGAAAGGGACTCCTGGTGCTGCTGGTACTTGAGCGCCACCGCCTCGGCTTTCCGCAGCTGCGTCTGCAGCTCGTAGTAGAGCATCGCGCCGTAGAGAAAGCCAAACACCACTGTCAGCAGCAGCAGCGTCTGGAAGATCCGCTTCTGCTTTCGGGAGCACATCCCGTTTCCCATAGTCCCCGCCGGACCGCGCGCTGTGGCGGTCCCTTCTTCCCCTCCGCCCGAGCGAGCGCCTCAGCAGCGGCCACCGCAGGAGGTGGCCGGAGGCAGCATGAGAAGACGCGAGACAGACACAAAAGCGGGGCCCAGGGGGAAGTGGCGCCCGCTGAGCGCTTAGCCCCCGCGAGCCGTGGGGCGCAAAGCCATGGACGCCGCCGGGGCAGCCGCCGCCAAACTTTTGCGAGGCTGGCTATCTGCGAGTGCCGGGGCCTGGGAGGGGGCCCTCCGCATACTTCTGAGCGTGGTGTCCTCGCCGAGGTCCCCGGACGCCTCCTGCCTTTATTTCTCCTCCCCACTTTTTGGTCTGGCAGTGCCCGGCGGCGCTCGGAGTCCCGCCCTGGCCGCTCCCCGCCCCCTCGCGGCCGTTCCCACTGCGCGACTTCTTTGCCACCAAAAGGAGCGGGTGCGCGCCCAACAAAGGGACCCCGGCTCCAGGCGGTGCCACTGCAGGGGGTGGGGTGGGGTGGGTGACCGGTGGGGGCTTGGTGCTCCCCAGGCTTTGGGGGATGGCGGGCCGGTGTCACTGACGGGGCCGCGGAGCCTCGGCCGCCACCGTCTCCCGCCCAACTTACGTGTCACCCACGGCTCCGCTATTCTGGCCAACGGGATTCCCGGAGGAAGTCCCACTCGGGCTCCCCGCTCATTGGGCCGGCCAGAGCTGCACCTCCCTCCCTTCGGGGTGGCAATGCCGGGCTCGATTGGACGCCCGCTTTGTCCGTCCGACCCCAGGACCGCGCCTTCCCTCCCACTGCGGGGCGCCTAGGGGCTAGTGGATCGCCCTGGCCCCTGACGCCGGGGTGCGCCCACGTGGAGTAAGGGTGGGTGGGGTAAGGCGGCGGAACTGGCGGCGGCGTGATTGGGGTGCGCCCAAGACGTGCCCCGGCCTGCGGCTGGGCGAGGTACGGTGCGCACGTGTCTGAGTGCCCTAGTGAGTGAGTGTGTGATCCAGCACTTGGAACGCACTTGAGAAGAGTAGTGCATTGTATGTAAATGGGAGAGAATGGTTGGGAGCAGCTGCACTCTACCGAGTACCCTTTCTTTCTTTCCCTATCCAGTGGGCAGATGCGATAGACACACGGGATGATTACATTGTCAGTACAGTCTTCGTATTGGAACAGGAGATGCTGTGCCACTTGCCCCATCCAGTGTACTAGTGTGAATGCGTTACGTGCCCACAGATGGCAGGACGTGAGCCGGGAGACTCAAGCACTCTAGCACGCTAGACTCACTGCTCAGCTGTCCACGTGGGTTGGAGAAATCAGCTTGCCTTTGGCAGAAGGGAAAGAAATGATCTCATATTTTTTCCCCGGCTGCAAATAGAATAATTTAAAAACAGATTTTACAGGCTGAAATGAGTATGCATTCATTTCATCATATGTATTTATTTTATTGGTGGCCAAAAAAACCAGTTACATTGTTAAATTACATTTTAAAGGCCAACAAAGTTTCTTATGTAAAAACAAGAAAACAAACGTAGTAAACATAAACCTCTTCAAAGAAAATCCATAGTGCATTTTTTTCTTTCGATGTACTCGAGGGAGGAAGATTGAGTTTATGCATAGTAATTTTGTTTCTGCTCTTGACCTATATTCTGAGAAAGTAAATCATTCCTCAAATGCCTCAGTAGTGTCTTGGAATTTTATTACACACTGCATAATTTTAATATATTCTAACTGGAATTTAGTCATCACTATCAATAATGGCCAGTGAGTGCTCAAAATGAGGGTGGATCTGTTTGGCTAAATACAACAGAAACTCTGGTGTGGAATTTTTTAGGTTGGCTCTGAAGCTATAGGATGCTAAAAACCATAAAATAAACTGAATTTACGACCTAGCTAGCCTGCAACATAAATTTATACTAGCATGAAAACTAAGTGTGCTTGGCATGTGCTTTTCCCTAATAAATAACTTACAACATAATGTTAAAAATGTTTTCATGTACAAATACACTATTTCACTTATCACAGATGTTCCTCAATTTATGATGGGATTATGACCTAAAAGCCCATCATAAATCAGAAATACCCTAAGATGAAAATGGGTTCAATACACTTAACCTACAGAACTTTATAGTTTAGCCTTGCCTAACTTAAATGTACTCAGAACATCTAAATGAACCTAAAGATAGCAGACAAAGTGGGCAAAATTGTCTAAGACAAAACCTATTTTAAAATAAAGTTTGAGCATCTTATGTAAATTATTATGCATATGGTTTTCATACCATCTTAAAGTCAAAAAATTGTAAGCTGAAAGATTTTAAATTAACACTTTGTACGTCGAGGAACATTGTCAGTGGAGGACCAAATGTATAAAGACTCATGTTTCGGTAAATAAAGAAACCAAAGTGTGTCAGAGTAACTGGTAGCTCGAGGACCTTCTAGATCATGCAGAAAGTTGGGAGCGCCTCAACTTAGATTCCAGCTCGGAATCCTGTCCTTTCCATCACTTTCTCCCATGGAAGCCAGGTTCCCATTCTTTTTAAACAAGTTATATTAACAAGTGTGTCTGGTCCATTAAAATGAAAACCAAATTTAAAAGAAAAAGATCTAAAGAAGTTTCAGAGTTTGGTTCTGACGTGTAAATATTATATAGCCTTATTATATAGCCTTTATTGCTATTGAATCTACCGCTTTAAATTCCCCTCTCTCAGTGTGACTCTTAGAAACGGAGACGGGAAAATTCCTGTGACCTTGTTAAATTCCTCCTAACTGAAAATTTCTTGCCTTTGCCACTGTGCACTTTGCTAAACAAACTCCTCCTCCAAAAAAATCTCCCCAAACTCCTTGGGTGGAAATAAAGTTTTATAGCTACAATCCTGGACCATACTTAAATAGAAAATCATCCTAGTCATAAAAGAAAAAGAAACTGTACAGAGAGTTGGGAAATTATTTCTCATATATTATACAGTATGCAGTATTTAGTTGTGTTTCAGAACCTTTGAACAATTCTTATGCTTCCGGAATACATGATTACTCATTTTAAACCTCTCATTTCTTTGCATCAGGTTCCAGACTCCGAAGGTATTCTTTGCCTAAAGCTGCTGGCTGACTGCACAGAAAATAATAAATGTAAGCCATAAAACACAACTCAATATTTTAGTCATAAAATTTGAAAGAGAACAAAAATTATTACCTGAACTTATCCATTATTTCAAATCCAAGAAGGGTATGTAGAAGTACATAAAATCACTAATGGCAGTGTCTTTATAATATTACTTTTCCAAGGTGAAGTATGCTGCTAGTTTCTTGAAAATAACCAGCATAGAACTTTTAGGAGGCCAGCACTGGGGAAGCTGTCCAGGGCCTATAAACTGAGTTGACATGACATTGCCTTTGAGCACAGCTTGGAACAGAGGAGCTCTTCGGACTGACCTTGCTGGGCCTGTCATCGATTCCACTTTATTTTTGTTTCTTTATCACTTTAATAATAGCATCATGTCATTATATTTTTATACACTGTATATTTACCAATGCATATAATATAAAAATGGTAAATCCTGAAGAATGCCCTCAATTTAATATTTTATTTCTAAGGCAGGCAGAAATTAAAGGGATTCAAGGCCTGACATTTGAGGAGGGCTAAGGTGACATTAGGGAACTTGCTGACGTTCTCTTCTGCATTCTCTTTAACTTCAGCAAATTTGTCATTTTAGTAAAATGTGTTCATTTTTACAATAGAAGAAAGCAAGGAAAATATAGTTGATGGATACAGCCAGAACATAATTTGTAAAAATGGGTGGTTTTAAATCAATGATATTCAGGGTCCTAGAGTAAATAATTCCCATTTTTTGAAATATCTCATTTACCTGTTTATTACAATTAAATTTAATATATATCTTTTAATTTATAAAAAAAGTCATCACCTAAGAAAAGGTGATGAATGTTAATTTCTTTTAAAAATTGTAACTATATGTGTTGATAGATGTTAAGTAGGCTTATTTTGGTGATCATTTTGTGATAAATACACATATTGAATCATTACGTTGTACACCTGAAACTAATATAATATTATGTGTCAATTATATCTCAAAAAATAAATCAACACATTTTTAAATGGCATTAGAGCATTAATAAACTAGTTTTAACCTTTTCATCTGAAAACTGCTGAGATCAGCTCTCTTTTTCACTTCAGGCAACTTCACTCTGTATCTGCCTATTTGCCACTTCTTGCTGTCACCTAATTAACACACAAGCTTCTCCTGTCACCTTTACATGACTTGTTTTAAGGGGTAAAGGAAGCTACATTCAAAGTATTCTCTCTTTGAGGACTCCATGAAAGATGCCTTGAAACTCCTTTTTCACAAGACTTTGCTAATGATCTGGTGATACTTGTTAGCAGATTAACAAAGTAAAAAGTAGGCCTTTGTCTAAATAAATAACAAAGTAACTGAACGCACTCTCTGTGTCTTGGTACCTTATTTTGGTCTGTCTCTAAGCTGCCATCTTTGTAACTCTGAACAATTAGCCTGCCCAAAAAGTCCCGGTAGTTTTTTCCATAAAAGAAAAGACACATTCTTCATTTTCACCAATAGCTTTATTGATTGGGATATTTTCGGTGTGTAGCTTATCTCCCACTATCGGCTTGTACAGGGTAGAGGCCAGAGGTGTTGCTAAACATCTTCCGATGCATAAGACAGGCCCACAGCAAAGAATCATTTGGCCAAAATGTCAATAGTACCAAGAAACTTCCCAAACCATTTTGACATGTTCGACCAGTCACAGCACTTTCTCCATATACTGTACAGACCTTTTGTGTTTCAGTTAAGTTTCTACCTTTCTTGAAATAGTAAGGCATAATACACCAAAAATGTTGTGTATCTTCTTCCATCTTCAATATTAAAATGGCTGCGCAAAAAGTCACCGATTTTGATGTGTTTTTTTAAATGCATGCTGATATGACAGTTGTCACAATACAGTCTAACAAAATTGTTTCCAATGAAGTTAAAGGCAAGTAAGTACCACTAGAGCCATCATATGAAAAAAAAAAAAAAAACAAACAAAACATAACAGACTTTTTGGCTGACCCAATACTTAAGGAGTTGAGAGTAAAGTTCATGTTTAGCCCTTATTTGTAAAATGCTTGTCAATAAGAAAAACCTTGCCCACAACATCACTAATAAATACCTTTGAGCATGAACTACTTTGATAACAGGGGAAATGGTTTAGAAGGCCCTACTTGCCACAAGATGTATAGCTAGACAAAAGGACCAGGAACTGTCAGTTGTGAAACCTCTGTAACAACCTTCTAAAACAGGCCCATAGAACATACTCTAAAACTCTTCTGAATTCTAAGGTGGCACAAGCAATTATTTTGAATTTGTAGCTTAACCTTTATTATGCTAGCATGCCGTGAACTAACTAGCATATTAATTTTAGAAAATAGTTTCCTAGAATGTTAGAATGAATCTTAAAGGGCCATATGTGAGACTCAGATGTGAAATGAATTTCCCAAATCTTCTGTTGGCTCATGCAGGCAGCTTTTTACTAGCTCCCTGCCTTCAGGGGACCAAGGAAAAGATCCGTGGCCAATGAAACATGACATTTTTAAGGTTCCCCTCCAAAATGTGTAGTTTATTGGATTCCTTTGTATAAAAGACGTGCTTGGTTTATCCATAACCATTTTATAGAATTGGTATTATAATTTTAATATGTTATATGATAGGTATTTATAGTAATTACTTAATTGTCATGAGGCATGGCTGGTCATATTTATCATACAGCAAATGCTAACTCCTGGGTCAGAATTTCAGCATTCAATTTCAGATCTTTTCCTAAGGGAAATCATAATCTGCTTCATAAACATCCTTTATGCTCTAGTTTTCTGGAACGTTTTGAATTAAAACAAAAGGATTACCAATCCTTTTACTTAGAAATAAACTAGAGAAAACTTTCAAATAAAAACTAATAAGAATCAAGTTACCTCACTATTAAATTCAGCTCAAATGAAAATTGTTAAACAGAAACATTTGTTTTGGGTTACTCTGCTCCTTCTCATTCTATTTTCTGGTTCAACGCTTCAACTCCTAGCATCCAATATTCTACTAATGCCCTTTGGATTTTCAGAATCCGCATCTAGGACTATACCCCCCACCCCCCGTCACCCACCTTTAAACATACACACTGGGCTTTCCTCCTTGACGACAAAGTAGGATAGATAGTCTAACATAATGCTACCTCAAAATTCCAATTAATGTCCTTTTCTTCAAGTAACAAATTAATCAAAGAAAAGCATATTAGATATATTAATTAATAGTAAGATATTAAAGAGTGAATTATGAACTTACATTCCTTCCAAGAACTTAGTTGGGTAATGTGTTAAATGAAGGAACTGAACTCTAATGGCATAATCTTAGACAGCCTGGTGAGCACATGAGTGATAATTGTGGACAGGCGGGTCTGACTTGTTACTATTTAGTTCCTGATTTCCCTACCCAATTGTGAACGGGCTTATGAACATTTAAAGGGTGACCCAAGCCTTGACTGATGTGGTTCAGTGGGTTGGGCATTGTCTAGCAAACCAAAAGTTCACTGATTTGATTCCCAATGAAGGCATAGACCTGAGTTACATTACAGTCCAGGTCCCTGGTTAGGGGCGTTTGAGAGGCGGCCAATCGATTTTTTTTCTTGCACATCGATGTTTCCCTCCCCCCTCCCCTTACCCTCTCTCTAAAAATAAATAAAATCTCAAAAGTAAAATAAAATAAAATGCCACCCAAGGTAGCCAGCATCAGGGTACAAATCCCATTGAAGTCATAAACTCTCTCTAAGGTCAAGAGTAAGTCAGCAACTGTTAGGGCCGTTACTTCTCTCATCCGTAAATGGAAAAGATAATCACATCTGTCCTGGCTAGCTCAGAGAAAATAAGCCCATAGGATTCTAGAGAGAAGCAAAACTTCAGACTTCATTTAGATAAAGCGCTGAATGTTGTACCAGTATTGTCATTGTCCACCTAAATTTGTCTGCACATTTCTGGAAAACTACAGTTGTTATTTTTTTAAAATTTGCTTCAGCTACACAATTTAAAATGGTAATTTTCCAATCAATTTTTAATTGAGCTCCTTTACTTGACGAGAAGGAGTAAGTTATGTCTTCAAAGCAAAGGAATTTTCCTGTACACTTACTCAGGCCAGATTCTTGATTCTTGAGTTGTAATTTATGGACTAATGTTTTCATTATGCTTTAAATCTCACCAGTTTTATTTTTTCTTTTAAGTAGTTACTGTGTGCAAGACACATGCAAAGAGGAAAGTGGAAGTGGGGGAGGTAGTGATGAATGGACCAAGGACCCTCTTTGCAAAGAGCTTGAAGATTTGTACTTATTTGTTTAATAAGTTGGAACTCTGGTTGGAAATTAACTTTCTCAAAGAAAGAACAGAGCAAGGAAGGGAGCTTCATGATGCAATCTAGATATTTCTAGAGAAGGAGGCCTTACAGACAAGGCCACTGGGACAGGTTAATCTATAGGATCAGTTAAGGCTGAGAAAAATAAAAGTGGTACATAGACAGACACCTTAAAACATAAATCTATTTTCTTTGAATTCTCTTTTGATGTCTGGCCAAGGCCTTTGCTCCTTGTGTGGATCTGCTGCTGGTTGGAGTGCAGCCCTGTCTTGAACACCATGGAGCATCGTTCAGATTCCAGTTTCATCTTGGCTGAGTGGTGCAAGAACTTAAAGACATTTGCTTGATAAGGTAATGCAGTGTAAAAATATGTCTAGATTTGTGGAATTTTTATTTCTCAGCCTTGTTTTTTACCTAATTTGTCTGCAATTATTTTTTTAAGCTACCAGCAAGTGTGGAGGTTTCCCATAGCACTCATCTGAATTTTCACAAAAACAGCTCCTTTTTTCACTCTCATATTTCATTAGTTTACACAATATTTGATAAAGCAAGTACAATGGCAAAACAGTTTTTAGAACAAACCGCCTGTCTCCGCTGAAGCACACAGCCCAGAAGGCATGCACAGGCCAGTTAGAGATTCATTTATGTGCCAGGGGTCTTCAGGGTGAAGTGTGGCAGGAGGGACTGATTTGCTGAGAGGGGAACAGCCTCCCCTAACTAAGTCCACTGAGTTGGTTAACTGGAGTCAAGGGATTCTACCATACATTCAAACAGGTAGAGAGGTAAAAAGAAGAACTGGTGATCAAGGAAAGGTATGTGAGAGACGTAACAGGAAACCAAAGGTAGGGGGAAAAGTGTGCTTTGAAGAGAGAGGAGAGTATTATTGATAGAAATACAGAGAGGGCAAGTTAAGATAAAGCCTAAAATAAGACGGTGGAATTAACTGATTAGGGGTGAGTTGGAAGAACTCGGTAGGCTGGGGAATAAATAGATGATAGGTAAGTAAGGGAAGAAGAGCATGAAAGTGGACTCTGAGTTTGATATATTTGGCTTGAAAAAAGATAGATTGGGTGTAGATTGAGGAAGAAACTAGATCGACAGAAAGATTGGTTTGGGTTTCATTATTATTATTTTTATTTGTCTTTGGGTTAATAAAGACTTAAGAATTTTTTGGAAAGGAGCTAGTAGAGAAGGATAGGTTAATTGTGGGGAACCAAGCCCCCAGGAAGGGGTCAAGAGTTAGGGTCCTGCATTGTGAGAATGATGCTTGGGCCTGTTCCTTGGCCTCGGGGGAGGTGACCTGACACTACCCCGGCCTTGTTTGTTATCGGATTGTTCCCAAGAGAAGGACGGGGAGGTGCCGGCGCCTTGGGGCGGTGCGTCGTGTCCTTGGAGTTAATCTAAACCAGAATGTTTGTCATGTCTCAGGATGTTCTGTACGTGACCTGAAGGGGTGTGTAAACTTTCTTGAACAAAGACTCTCATCGTGTAGCAAGCATTCTATTTTTAGAACATCTCACTATATAATGACAGGAGTTTTCAATAAACTTGCCTTTTGCCACCAGAGCATCTGGCCGCTCTCTCTTTTCAGTCCGTCACTGCGCGTCTCGAACCCACTGCCTCGCTGGCCGCGGCAAGTGGCGCCCGAACAGGGACCTGAACTAGAGGTCTTCGGGGGACCACCAGAGTCCTGAGATTGACGACAGCAGAGCCTGACAGGACCGCTGCTACGGGGGCCCGGTAAGTACACGAAAGAAAAAGAAAACGAAAGTAGCAGGGAGTAGACGAAGAGAGCTAGTAGAAATGGGGGTTTCGCTTTCTACCGAGAGGGAACTCTTTGAGCAGGTACTGTGTTCCCTATTGAGGGGACGGGGAATTTCCACGTCGAAAGGGCAAATCCATCACTTTGTAGATTTCGTTCAGCAGATCTGCCCGTGGTTTCCAGAAGAAGGGACTATAAATATAGATACGTGGAAGAAAGTGGGGGAGCGCATCAAAGAGCATTATCAAGCTAATGGCCCTGAGAAGACACCTGTAGATGCGTTCTCTCTTTGGTCTCTTGTTCGAGACTGCTTAAGGGGGGATTCTGAGCTTGCCAAGTGGGAGCGCAGCACGCGGGGCAGTCTCCGTGCTGCTCGCTCGGCGGAGAATCTATATTCCCCACCACCTCCGCCGACCGCACCTCCCCTAAAATGGGAACCGCTGAAGTATGATCAGCCAGAAGTGAACTTATCGGAGAAATCGCGGGCTCCCGATCCAGCAGAAGTTGATTGGGGGGACCTTGCTGAGCAGGCAGCATCGTATCACCCCCCTCAGGAGGTGTTCCTCGCCTCGGCTGAGGATGAGAAGCCGGCCGGCGAGGCGGATTCAACCCTGAAAGAATTATTGTCTGTGCTTAAAGAATTAAGGGATGAGCAAGTTCAAAGGGTTAGTAAGCAGGAGGTTCAAATGCCCCCAGCCTCAGCTCCCTCTCCTCCGGACCCCCTGTTTACCACTGGGGTGCCGCTCATAGCCCGTGTAGGACATCGGCTTAACCCTCCACCAGGATTTACTAGGCACAGTTCTCCGTTACAATTAGCATTGCAACAGGCGCGCCAAGCGGGGGACCCCCTTGAGGGATTCCCGCAGTCTCAATTGTTTCCCATTATTAGAAGGCAGGGGCAGAATGATCAGGGAGAGGTTCTTGACATTCGTGATTATGAGCCCATTTCCTATAAGGCACTAAAGGAGCTTAAGTTAGCCTGTGCCCAATACGGAGCTACTGCTCCTTTCACAATTGCTACCATGGAGACTATTGCTGGGAATGTTTTACCTCCTCATGACTGGAAGACCATATGTAAGGCGGTGTTGACAGGGGGAGACTACCTTTTATGGCTGACGGAGTATTATGAGCAGTGTGTAGGTTATGCAGGAACAGACGCAGCTCGCCGGGATAACCTTACTGCAGAACAATTGCAGGGGGCAGGAGATTATTCAGGTGCTGAACGCCAATTGTTATACCCGGCGTCGGCATATGATTTCATCAGATGGGCTGCTACTGCGGCCTGGAGGAGACTACCTAAATCAGGAGTCCGAAGAGAGGAACTCTCTAAAATTCGGCAGGGGGCCTGATGAGCCATTCCAAGATTTTGTAGCTCGGCTCTTGACGGCCACTCAGCGGGTCATTGGAGACGCTGACGCTGCGTCCATAGTAGCTAAGGAGATGGCTTTTGAAAATGCCAATACCGCCTGCCAGGCTGCCATGAGACCGTGGAAGGGTCGCGCTACCTTAAATGATTATATCAAGTTGTGCGCTGACATTGGGCCTGGGTATGTTCAGGGCCTTACTATAGCTGCAGCCTTAAAAGGACAAACAGTTAATGAGTTCTTGGCCTCTAGAAGAGATAACAAGAGAAGGAAGCCCGGACCGCCTGGGAGCTGCTATAATTGTGGGAAGCTCGGCCACATTGCTCGGCAATGCAGAGGAGGTACCCCTCAGAATTCAGGTTCCGCACAGCCAGCTTCGGCCCGGGCTCCTAGTTTATGTCCCCGATGCAAAAGAGGCAATCATTGGGCCAATGAGTGTCATTCCAAGAGAGATAGAGAGGGGAACATCCTCCCGTCACAGGGAAACGGGAGGAGGGGGCCAGCCTCGGGCCCCCGCAGCAAATATACGGGGCAATGAGCAATCCCGTGCTGGATTCACCTCCAGTATCCAGCGGCCAGACATTTCCCAGCTTAAGCGAGCCACCCCCAGGGAGCGCCGGCTTGGACCTCTGCCTCTCCCAGCATGTAACCTTGACCCCCTGAGATGGGCATGCAGGCTCTACCTACTGGCACATATGGGCCTTTGCCAGAGGGCACGGTCGGGTTACTTTTAGGAAGAAGCGGTTTTACCATGAGGGGACTTTTTGTAGCTCCTGGAGTAATCGATTCTGATTATACGGGAGAAATAAAGGTTATGGCAAAAACAGAAAAAAGTGATTATTAACCTACCCTCTGGCACCAGGATTGGGCAACTTGTTCTGCTTCCTTATCAAACTTTTGGACAGCCCTCCCTACAGGAGAAGGGCCGTGGATCCTCTGGATTTGGATCCACTGATGTATTTTTGATGAGGGCCATTAAATTAGACCGACCGGAGTGTCAGCTCCGAATCAATGGAAAGGACTTTAGAGGCATTTTAGACACTGGAGCCGATGTGTCGGTAATCTCTCTAAAGCACTGGCCTGAATCTTGGCCTATGCATCCAACTACTACGACCCTCCAGGGGGTTGGACAATCCTCCTCCCCCTACCAGAGTGCCTCCTTGCTTAATTGGTCTCATGAGGAAGGCTCCTCTGGGACCTTCCAGCCTTTCATTCTTCCCCATCTTCCAGTGAATTTATGGGGAAGAGATGTTATGGAAGGTATGGGCTTAGTTTTTGTGGCAACCAGGAACCCCGTTACAGTCTTTTTCTTAGCGGCCACGGTCTCTCCTGCTTCATATGCGGATCCTATAGCATGGAAGGATAATACACCCATATGGGTAGATCAGTGGCCGCTTTCCAAAGAGAAACTTTCTGCCGCGCAACGGCTGGTGCAGGAGCAGCTAGCGGCTGACCATATTGAACCTTCTACTTCCCCCTGGAACTCGCCTATCTTTGTCATTAAGAAAAAAATCAGGGAAGTGGAGACTTTTGCAAGATTTAAGAAAAGTGAATGCCTCCATGCACCCTATGGGGGGCCTTTACAACCTGGTCTGCCTTCGCCCGCCGGGATTCCCCGGGCACTTATAAACTTGTCATTGATCTCAAAGATTGCTTTTACACGATCCCGTTGTCCCCTGTCGATTGCCCTCGCTTTGCTTTTAGTGTTCCGACCATTAACCTTCAAGAGCCCATGAAACGTTATCAGTGGAAAGTTCTCCCACAGGGCATGGCTAATAGCCCGACCTTATGTCAAAAATTTGTCCAACAGGCGATTCAAACCACTCGAGAACGATTTCCTGATACTCTGATTATTCACTATATGGACGATATCCTCCTTGCACATGCTGAAGAACGGCGTTTACTTGATACCTTTTCTCACATGCAACAGGCTCTTCATTCCTCAGGGCTCCAGATTGCAAGCGATAAAGTCCAGACTGCCTATCCCTACTCCTACTTGGGATTCCAGTTAAAACCCTCCCTTTTTACCCCTCAAAAAATAACCATCAATACGTCCTCTCTCCAAACATTATATGATTTTCAGACGTTCCTAGGTGAGTTAAATTGGTTGCGACCAGCTCTGAAATTGACTACCGGAGATCTCAAACCTTTATTTAATATCCTCAATGGAGACTCTAACCCTTCTTCCTCTAGATCCTTGACCCCCGGAAGCTAAACAAGCTCTCCAGCTGGTCTCTCGGGCCCTACAGGAAGCGCAGTTGACCTATTGTGATGTCACTCGGCCCTGGCAGTTAATTATCATTCCCACCTCGCTGACACCAACAGGCGCTCTCTACCAACAGGGTGTTTTGCAATGGCTCCATGGCTCCGCCACCCCGCGGAAAGCCCTTCCTTCCTACCCTACCCTGGTGGCGGAGCGCGTTCAGCAAGGCCGTAAATTATCTATACAAGTCCTAGGCAGGGATCCTCCCACAATTATTATCCCCTATACTGCAGAGCAATATTCTTGGTTGATGAATTTTAATGACTCCTTTGCTCTTGCCTTTGAAGGGTTTGCAGGTGAAATAGCTCATCACCTCCCGCATGACAAGATTCTACAGTTCGCGCACGTTGCCTCTTTCATTTTTCCTAAGGTTGTCGTCAGTGACCCCATCGCAGGGGCCATTTCTCTCTTCACTGACGGCTCCTCTAATGGCAGAGCATCTTTAGTTACTCCTGATAAAACTTTTGTATGGTCCACCTCCTTTTCATCTGCACAGGAAGTTGAGCTCTATGCAGTGTCCCGCGCGTTAGAGCTTTTTCAGCAGGCAATCAATCTTTACACTGACAGTCAATATATCGTTCGTGCCTTATCTGTCCTTGAAACAGTCCCTCTGATCCATACTCACAACCCTACTATTTTCCAATTATTCCTTACAATTCTTCTCGATTCCCTTGGGATAAGGTGCGGAATCACCTGACGGGAATCTGGCATAATTGTAATACTTCTTTGGACCTCGCCGCCTTACACAAAGAGATACAGGATCTAGTCAATGCCCCCCCCCCATTGGACGTCGACATTGCTCGAGATGCCGAAAAATTCTTTAACACTTTAGCCGGTTATTTTCCCTCCATTCACCAACTCTTGTACAATTGGCTAGGAACCGGAGTCGTTGTCCTTATCTTACTGCTTTGTCTTCCGTGCATTTTGCGATATCTACTTGGGCATATCCAAAATCTATACCTCGATTTAAAAAGACAAAGATTGGATTATAAAAGACATGAGGTACCTATTGCCTTGTCCTAAACAAAAAAGGGGGAGATGTGGGGAACCAAGCCCCCAGGAAGGGGTCAAGAGTTAGGGTCCTGCATTGTGAGAATGATGCTTGGGCCTGTTCCTTGGCCTCGGGGGAGGTGACCTGACACTACCCCGGCCTTGTTTGTTATCGGATTGTTCCCAAGAGAAGGACGGGGAGGTGCCGGCGCCTTGGGGCGGTGCGTCGTGTCCTTGGAGTTAATCTAAACCAGAATGTTTGTCATGTC